CCAAAATGTGACCAGGTATCCTACTCATCCTGGTTTCTATTCTGCAAAACAGAATTATCACTGCAAAGACAGTCTAGGAAAATAACATTTCCCATATGTACACACCTAAATTTAACAGTTGAAATAAGAGCTTTCCTATAAGCTATATGCATTCTGGAAATTCATTCAGTTGAAATAAGAGCTTTCCTATAAGCTATATGCATTCTGGAAATTCATTCAGTTGAAATAAGAGCTTTCCTATAAGCTATATGCATTCTGGAAATTCATTCAGTTGAAATAAGAGCTTTCCTATAAGCTATATGCATTCTGGAAATTCATTCCTTCTCAAAATTCCATGCTCCCTCAAAGACTTTTTCCCCTTAAAGTTAAGAAGCATACTAAAACTTAAAAAGTAGGAAGCATACTCATTTCTAAGACTAGAAATAAAGTTTCTGTTCATTATCCAACTGTCTTTTCCTTATAAAGCCAATGTAAAGGGGCTACAGGTATGGCTCAGTGGCACAGCACTTACTCCAGGATGCACAAGGCTCTGGGACTGATTCCCACCCCAAAGTGGGGAAAAAAAATCATTGTTAAAGGGTGGCTCAGCTAAAGTTTCCACATTTCTCCGTCATAGGAGCCTTGTATGCTTCCAGTTTATCCCCATTTCCTTCCAATCAAGACAGCAGGATAGAATACACAATACCTGAGCTGAGTCATCTTCTCCATGCCCTCAGTACTGATGCGGTCCCTGGAAAGCAGGTTGCTGAGCTGCAGCTCCTGGTTGTCAGCCACTCGGAGAAGCCTGTGTAGCTCCTGTTGCTGCATGTTCCTCACATGCTGCTCTATCTCCTCAGGACTCATGGTACTGGCAGGGAGAGGACTACATACATACTGTCCTGAGGGGGGTGGGTAGCCTGGATAGTAAGGCCCTGGATACATACCATTTGCAGCGCCCATTGGATATTGTAGAGGGCTATATCCTGTATAGGGATACTGGGAGGCAGGGCCTGGTGTCCGAGGGTAGTAATAGGGGTTGTCAGAGTTTTGAAATTTATAGTAAGATGCCTGGGACTGACGTGAGTCACCCCAAGATGTAGGACTGACTTCATCATCAGTGTCCAAGAAATGCAGCTGAGGTGTCTGGCTCTTTAGAGCAGGTTTCTGATCAGGATTGTTTGGGTCCCATAGTCGTCGGGTGGTACCTCCACGGCCCCAATTCCGAGATCCCTTACTACCAGATCCAAATAAAAGCTGAGGCCCCAAAGGTGTAGACTCTGGAGAACCTGCTGAACTAACAGACAGGGCAGTATGGGCAGGCAGAATCAGAATGCCACGACCACAACCTCTAAGTTCTTGTTTTGGGTTTTTAAACTCCAGCTTCTCAGTGCCTGTGCCCCCACTGTTCAAGCCTTTGTCCGGCTTTATCCTGTCCACATTCTCCCTGGCCAACCTCACCATTGGGACATCTTTACTCATGGTTTCTGCATCAAAAGTGACATGAAGGGTGCCTCGGTTCTCTTTACCATTGCTTTTCTGCTCACCCTCTCCACAACCAGACCAATTTTTTTCTAAATGCTTCTTCCTTTCTGAGCTCCTCCTGGGCCCTAATCCATCAGGCTCATCAATTCTGTCCTCGTCTAAGGAATCAGTTGAGGACATAGATACTTGCTTCTTCACTCGTGGTCTCTCCTTGGTCCGATCGTGGCGCCGCCGGCGACATCCATTACCAGTCAGGCCAACTCCCTCAGCACTGTTGTTGCTACCAGCTGAGCTGGTGCTACAAGTGCGGTAGCGGTTCCTCCGTTTGTCTGAGCGTGAGTAACGCTTTACAGAAGCAGGCTTCCCCTGGGCAGAGTCATCATTCACCTTCTTTGTTCCCTCCCCCTTTTCAATCTTTTTCCCCTTTTCTCCCTTCCCAGTTCTTACTCGGTCATTATTGTGAGTCTTTTCTGTCTCAGTTTTATCTGGTTTATTCCAGACTTCTTTTACAACTTTTCCCTTATACTCATCTTCCTCTATTCTCAGCTGTTCTACTTGGTTGAGGATTTCTTCCTCTTCCACCCTGCCAGCTGGCTCTTTGGTCATAGTTTGCAAACGTCTTCCAGGCTGATAAATTTGCAGGTCCGGTTTCTTTGTTCTCCTAATGATTCTTAGACACTGATCCTCTAGTCCAACATTCTTTGGAAACGTCTCCTGTACCTGACTATTTCCTGGGTCTGTAGGACCATTTTGCTGTTGATTGTCCAGTTCCTTGCAGACATCTTTAACAAGCTGTGTACCATTCCCCACAGAAGAATCTCTGTCATTCACAATTTCATCCTTAAATTCCTCACTCCCAGAAGGCTCCTTGGTTTTAGGTCTGTTCCTTAGTCTAGAAAGGCCAGGCTTATAGATTTCCAAATCTGGGCGTCTGTTATCTTTACGCTGCCTGGGTTCCTTTAATTCCTTCATATTTTCTACTATATTGATAGCAGGGTTAAGGAGGAAAAGGCAGAAGAAAAGAGTAAAGGAGAAGGGAGAGAGGAAAAATTTGTTATTTTGGTTAAGTAACAAAAAAGTTAGGCAAGAATTATATATGCAAATGCTAATGCTGGTGGGCAGGGAAGAATATTTCCACAAAGGCAGAAATTCTGTGGTTTTTGGTCTTTTTGAGACAGGGTCTCCCTGTAGCTGTCCTAGAACTCACTATGTAGACCAGGCTGGCCTTGAATTCACAGAGGTCCTTTAATCCCAGCACTCAGGAAACAGAGGCAAGCAGATCGATGCCAGTTTGAGGCCAGTCTGATCTACATAGCGAGTTACAGGCCAGCTGGGGCTACAGAAAAATCTCTGTCTCAAAAAAGACCAAAAAATAGGGGCTGGAGAGATGTCTCAGCAGTTAAGAACACTGGTTGTTCTTGCAGAAGACCTGGGTTCGAATCCCAGTACCCACATGACACCTAACAACTGTGTAACTCCAAGGGATCTGAAAGCCTCTTCTGTCCTCTGAGGGCATTGCACGACACTGGTGTACTTTCGTACATGCAGGCAATACAGTCAAACACATAAAATAAAAATAATAAATAAAATATTTTTTAAAAAGACCAAAAAATAATTTGTTCAGTAACCAGTGAGGCTAAGAACTTAAACTGTGTTAGAGCTACCTACATTGGTATGATGGAAATAGAGG